GCAGGCTGGTGCTGGGTGGCTCCATTTCCCACTGCCATGATGAGTGTGGGGGAGAGGGGCGAGCCCTCTGCCAAGGCCAGGCCCCCCGATAATGCCCTGGGCCGTGTCACATGGGGGAAGGGGCTTACAGCAAGGGGGGCAGGAAGAATCAAAGCAGGGGTGGGACTTGGGGGAAAGGGCTGGAGAGGGGGCAGGGCCGGGGTGGAGTGGAGGTGAGAAGTGATGGGGCGGGAGCGGGGTCTGGAGCACAGGGGGGTTGTCCCAGGCCCCCTAAGTTCAGCGCAGGGGGAGAACCTGGTATTGGCCGCTGTCAGCAGACAGAACGACGCGTTACATGGGCCGTTGATCAGACCCCGGGTGGCCATTTTCCCTTTATAGGAAGAGAAATATGCATCCCACCCCATGGCCAAATACTGCATCCCCCACCCCCAATGGCCACACCACAATTGGAACTGCTAGACTGGGTGACCCTCCCTCCCCCCCTCCCAGGCCCCAGCCGCCTCTGGGAGAGGGAGAGGAAGGGGAACAGAAAAGGAGGGAAGAATGGGAGAGGAGAGGGGAGATTTTCTTGTCTTTTCTTTCTCCCTTTGTCTTGCTCCCTTGCTCCCTCCCTTCCTCCTTTCCTTCCTTCTTCTCTTCTCTTCTCTTCTCTTCTCTTCTCTTCTCTTCTCTTCTCTTCTCTTCTCTTCTCTTCTCTTCCCAGACATGGCAGGAGAAAAATGTTCCCTCCAGCCTTCCATCTGTATTTTTTACCGGACTGTATTATAGGACTGTCTGGGCGAAAACAGGACGCAACTCTATTTAAGGCAGGAGTGGGGAACCTAAGGACTGGGGACCGGATGCGGCCCCTGGCTTGCTTGGATCCAACCCCCAATGTTCAGAGATCTCCCCAGCATTGGAGAGCCGGCACTGGCACTCCAGCCCTGCGGCTGCCCCAATGCAGGGATGGAGCACACAAAATCTACTAGCCTGGACCCCCCTAAGCTCTGGTTGTGCAGGGAATGTGGGGAGTGTCTCTCTCTTCAGTCGGGGGCCATGTCACTGAAGGTTTGTTTTGTCCTTTCGGCTTCCCACTTGCGTGCGGCCCCCGACTGTGGGTCAGTGTCCCCCGACCACGAAAAGGTTCCCCGCCCCTGTGATGTCCACTGACCATTTAAAACATGCAATTGAAGCTCGTGGATTGTAGTTCTGAGAGCCACAGAAAAGGGCCCAGGCGTGAACTTTCAAATAAAGCCTCGTCCTTTAATTTTTCACCTGGGTTTTCCCTTCTTTCTGTCCAACAAAGACGGCGACGCCGGGCGTGTCAGGGGCACAGTGTGAGCTGGGAAGTGGGATGGAAGAACCCAGAGAGGCTTTGGAATCCAAGCCGGAAGAACGGCTAGATCCTCTCGCCGGCGACAGAAAACGCGGAAGTGGCGATCAGCTCCCCTTTAGCAGCATCGATAAACGTCACCTTCCCGCTTTCAAAGTCCAGATAAACCCGGAGCCTTCTGGGTGTCTTGATCAGGAACAGGGAGACCACGGAGGAGGTGAAAGCCGGGAACCACTGGTCCCCGCTCCACTCCACAGCCCAGATTTCCTGTTTATGTTTAACACGGACCCGTCTCTTCCTGCTCACAGACTCTCTGGCCACTCCCACAGCACAAAGCCCCACGGCCTCCACCTCCCAGCAATGCCTCCCAGCGCTGAACCCCTCACAGCCCAGCACACAGAGCTCAGTGTCACATCTCTCCGGGGTGTCGGGCAGATCCTGCCATGTCTCTCCCCGCCTCACGCTTTTCCCATCCGCAGACACGATGAGTTCGGGGTGGGCCGTGGCTGGGTCCAGGGTCACGTTGGCTGCAGAGACAGAACCAAAGTGTGGGGGGCAGGGAGCAGACACAGAAAACGCAGGGTGTTTCTCTTTTCCATCACAAGTGGCTTGTCTTTGCAAAACTCGGCCAGGCTATTCAGGTTGAGGGAAACAGCTCACTGGGTTCCATCGTTTTACAGTCCAAAGGGGCCCACGCATGAGCGCTCAGGGCCAGGATCAACGTGTGGAGTTGAAAACTGGAGGAACCCAAAGACGTGGGAGCAAAATATGGACCAATTTCCAAAAGCATTTTTGAATATTTTGTTTGCAATGTAATTAAATCTTTGACTAAACAAATGAGACAGAAAATTCATTCCCCTCTGAAAAGTTATTGTACTGTTTGAAGACTGAAGACAGAAAATTCATTCCCCTCTGAAAAGAGTTATTGTACTGTTTGAAGACTGTTTAATCTCTCTCTCTCTCTCTGTATAATACAAGGACTTTATTCACACACTAAGTGGAAGTCTCAATACAGCTGTTACTATGGCTACGTCTATACTGCTTCCTTCTTGAGCAAAAGCCTATGCAAATGAAGCATGGATTAGCATATTGCCACACTTCATTTGCATATTTCATGAGCAGCCACTTTTGCACAAACGGCTTTTGTGCTTTTGCAGCTTTTGGGCCATCTACACAGCTCCTTTTTGTGCACAAGCCTCTTGCTCAAAAACGGCCTCTAATTAATTATGCAAATGAAGTGGAACAATATGCTAATCCGCACTTCATTTGCATAGGCCTTTGCGCAAGAAGGAAGCCGTATAGATGTAGCCTTAGGGTTGTTAATTCCTAATGTCTTGTTTGCGATTACTCTGTCATGTTAAAATAACCATGGATGTCCGAGGCAATCCCTTCTCTTTCATTTTTGTTACTCTGTGTATTTGTCACAGTTGTTTGTCTCATGTGAATTTTAGATCCTTCTCTACCAGGCAATCAAGACTCCTAAATTACCTTGTTTTCTCTTCATATTGGGAAAAACGTGCCCATAATTTTCAGTTGCTGAAGATTTACCTTTGTGCAATTTCCACTCAGATGAGAAAGATTCTAAAGGAAGAAAAAAAAAAAAGGTGAAAGGTGAGATGTCATGCTGTCACAATTGAGGTGGAAGTCCTATCATTAACATAATTGGTTTTATTGTATACCTGGGGTATATATCAATACAATCAAACACGTTATTTCGAACAAATAATAGAATGTGTTGAGTGATAACAATGTATTTTCCTAGCCCGTCACTATAAAAGCTGAGTACTTATAAGGGTGGAAATTAACAGGTCTCCTACCTGCCTGCTACCCAGATATTCTAATAAATTTAAAAAACAATGAACTGTCTGGTAGCACTTTAAAGACTAACAAAACATGTAGATGGTACCATGAGGTTTCATGGACGCAGCCCAGTTCTTCAGATGACCAGAGTGTTGGAAGTCCAGAACCAGGTCCAGACAGGTGTGATGCCCAGTTGACCAGCAGTGGTTCATGCCGAGCAGGCTCTCCCTCGGCGGAGCTGCAATGGCTGGAGATCGAGCTGTGGCTAAAGGAACTGGAGAACTGTAGGGAACAGCGGCAGCATGAGCAGGCTATGGCAGAGCGGAGAAGCCAAGAGCCCTGGAAGTCCTTGGAAGAGCCCAAGGGGGTATGGCAGAGCGGAGAAGCCAAGAGCCCCGGCTGCAGTGCGTGGGGAAGAGCCCAAGGGGACCAGGACTGCAGGTCACTTTACATAAGAACATAAGAACGGCCGTACTGGGTCAGACCAAAGGTCCTTCTAGCCCAATATCCTGCAGGTGCCCCAGAGAGGGTGGACCGAAGACAATGATCAAGCGATTTGTCTCCTGCCATCCCTCTCCAGCCTCTGACAAACAGAGGCCAAGGACACCATTTTATCCCCTGGCTAATAGCCTTTTATGGACCTAACCTCCATGAAATTATCTAGCTTCTCTTTAAACTCTATTATAGTCCAAGCCTTCACAGCCTCCTCTGGCAAGGAGTTCCACAGGTTGACTACACGCTGTGTGAAGAAGAACTTTCTTTTATTAGTTTTAAAGAACCACTTTGAGAGGTTTGTACTGTCCCAGTGTAAGGATGTGGGGGATCTGGATGGATTCCTTAACTCCTTCGAGCGAGCCTGTGAGCTGCATCAAGTCCCCCCAACCAACTGGCTCCGGCAGCTCACCCCCTTACTGGATCAGAAGGCTGCAGGGGTGCTTGGCCAGCTGGAGGTGTTGCAGCCAGGGGACTATGAACAAGTCAAACATGCCTGTTTGGTTCTGGAGATCCAATACTCTGGTCTTCTGAAGCAGTGGGCTGTGCCCACGAAATATCTCTAACATGTTTTGTTAGTCTATAAAGAGCTACTAGACTATTTGTTGTTTTTTAAGTTGATCCTGTTGGTTTTTTAAGTTTAAGGCTACCCCTCTGAAGATATTCTAAGCCATTGAGTAATACACACATTACAATAACCGTAATTCTTACCCAAAAGGTAAAGCATTCTTTCACATTTTTAAGATCGTTGTAATGAAATGTGCATTTCTCTACACTTAGTACAAATAGCTTTATTATTCAGGCAGAGTGAAATTTGCGATCGCCAGAAAGGCATTTTTGTCCCTCCTCCCTCTGAGAATTGGGTTCTTCTATTTTAAGGTGATACAATTTTTCCACACAATTTGACAGATTCTAGATAATGGGTTCCTGAATTCTATCTCCCTCTACCGATCTTCAGATCAGTTTGAAAGGGATTTAAGACAAGGTGAGTGGGTTAGCAAAACAGAGTTCGTTATAGAAACTTGCAGTAATAAATATGGAACAACTGCTGACAATTCCTAATGAAACATTCTGCAATGATCTTTAGAGTGCTGGTGTAAATGTGATGAAGTGGGGATTTTATTTGCTGCGTTATGTAGCATGTGATGTCCACTGTTCTAAAGTAACCCTGTGTGGTTGTGTGCGCCTTAGTTTCCTGAAAGCACACAATAGAATCATAGAATAGTAGACCTCGAGAAGTCATCAAATCCAGTCGCCTGCCTTCACGGCAGGATCAAATACTGTCTAGACCATCCCTGGTAGACATTTATCTAACCTGCTCTTCAATATCTCCAGAGATGGGGATTCCACAACCTCCCTGTGTAATTTATTCCAGTGTTTGACCACTCTGACAGTTAGGAACTTTTTCCTAATGTCCAACCTAAACCTCCCTTGCTGCAGTTTAAGCCCATTGCTTCTTGTCCTGTCCTCAGAGGCCACAATGAACAAGTTTTCTCCCTCCTCCTTCTGACACCCTTTTAGATACCTGAAAACGGCTCTCATGTCCCCCCTCAATCTTCTCTTTTCCAAAGTAAACAAGCCCAATAGCTGATGTCCTTTGTAACCTAAGCCGGGGGAAGGACGGGGGGAGTGTGAATAGGTGACACCTTTTGCTCAGGAAGCCGGACAAAGGCTGGAGGAGGAGCCCGGCGGGGGGGCTGGGACCAGGAACTGGTATTAGGTCAGTCTTGCTGGTTTGCGGGGCAAGATCCTGGCTCTGGGCCCTCCCTCCCCACAAGCTGGATGGGGCAGGCTGCTTCTGGCTCCTGTGCTGACACCTGTCCCTGTGAACCAATGAACCTTCTCTTCTACCTGTCCACTGAGAATCACCTCTGGCTGCAGCTGGAGGGGAGGGGAAAAGGCCATATTCACTGATGCTCCCACACTTTGGTATCAATAATGAAGGGCACAATTCTTCCGTCAGTGACACTAGTGAAGGGGGGGCCAACTTGCGGCTCTTTGCTCATAGAAATGTGGCTCTTACGAGTTCGGGCTATTAATAAAAGCATCCGGGGCTGATTGGCTCTGGGGGAGGAGAGAGGAATTGGTTTAGAGTGGAGGAGCTGAGGGTTCCTGGCTCAGGGGAAGGGGCGGCGGGGGGGGGCTTACAGTGCATGGCTCTGGGGGAGGGGTGGATGCATTGGATTAGAGCAGGGAGGCTGGGGGTGCCTTAGGGTTATAGATATATAACAATTAATATGTAATACATGCCTTATAGATATATACAAATATATAATATGTGGCTGTTTGCACTACTGTCCACAGCTATTTTGGCTCTTGGTCTCTAACTGGCTGACCACCCCTGCATTAGTGCAATTCCCTAATGACATCCGCGAGAGGTGCATTACGTAGGGGTCAGTGAGGACGAGCAATGCAAGCGTGTGTCGCTACTCCCATGATTCAGTCACACGACTCTGTGGGGGGGTCACTGGAGGGCACGGTAGCTGTTCAATAGCAAGGAACTGGCAGGAGCACAGGGAAGCAAGTTGGAGGAACCTTTCATTGCTTCTGCTGATGTTGGCGGCCAGCTGGCTAGCCCAGCTGCAAATCAAACTGGGGGCTTCCCCAGACCTGAGTTCTGAACCTGTGATCTCAAAGCCAAGGCCCTACGTGGCTGTGAAGCAGAGTGCAAAGAACTCGCCAGGTTTAGGCCAGACCAGGGAGACGTTTTCAGCACCACTGATCGGCGTGTGACAGGACTCCCTCACCTTTGCAATTCTTCTGGAGGTCCTGTACAATCGTGGATTTTTCAGAGAAATTCCAGCCGCCCCATTTCAGGTCGGGAGAAAGTGACAGTGGATCCTGAAATGTCTTTCTTTCGCATCTAGAGAAAATGACCCATTATTAATGAATGCCAACTGAATCTTCAGTCCCCAATGATGATCGAAGCTGATGAATCCAGGTTTAAGTCCTTCCACTCACCTGCTGAGTGCCTAAGAAATGCTCAACAGGCAGAACTGAACTTGAGACCATTAAAGCTGAGCTTATAATGTGGCCTAATGGATCAAGCATTGGTCTCCTAAACTGGGGTTTGTTGATTCAAGTCCCACCTGGAGTAGACAGATATTTCCTCCTTAATTTTATGAAGGCCATAACTTTAACAGGGTTTAAAAAAAGAGTTTGATATTTTGATGGGTATGGGTATGTCTGCACTTGCACCCTCTTTCAAAGGAGGAATGCAAATGTAGACATTCAAAATCGTAAATGACGCTGGGATTTAACTATCCCGCACTTCATTTGCATATTTGCAGACGGGCACTCTTTCGAAATACTTTATTTCAAAATACAAAATGCTGTTTGGATGCAGTTATTCCAGGAGAAAACCCTTCTTCCGAAATAACGTTTAAACTCTTGCGTCCAGCCGGGAATATGCAAATGAAGTGTGAGATATTTAAATCCTGGCTTCATTTACAATTTCGAATGTCTACATTTGCATCCCTCTCTCGAAAGACATACCCCAGGATGGGTAGGAATGGTGTCTGTAGCCTCTGTTTGCCAGAAGCTGGGAATAAGTAACAGGAGAGAGATCACTTGATGATTCCCAGTTCTGTTCATTTCCTCTGGGGACACTTGGCATTGGCCACTGTCAGAAGACAGGACACTACGCTGAATGGACCTTTGGTCTGACCAAATATGGCTGTTCTTAAAAACCAGATGGCTCTCAGCAAAGGCTGTAGAGCAGACTCGTTACTTTCTCTGTAAGCGGTCTGAGGCTGCATCTACACTGCTGAGTTTTTGAGCAAAAACTCACGGAGTGTCCACGCTACACGTGCATTTTTGTGTAAGAAAATGTACAATACATCGTAAGAAGAGAGGGGTTTTTTCACAAGAGTTATTCCTCTTTTTACAAGGAATAAGCCTCTTGGTGCAAGAACTCTTGTGCTAAAAGGTGCATGTGGACGGAAACGAGTTTCTTGTGCAAAAACAGCCTATCAGAAAAAGCACTGGTGCTCTGATGGCCATTCTGTTAATGGCCATCAGAGCTTTCTTGCCCAAGCGTGTCCATGGCAGTCCAGCGATCCGCTTTTGTAGTATGGGAGCGCTTTTGAGCAAGAACTTTTTGCGGAAGATCTTTTCCACAAAAAGGTTCTTGTGCAAGAAACCTTCAGTGTAGATGTAGCCTCAGTGCCACTAAATGGGAAAATGCACCACACCCAGAAGGTGTGTGGGCAACACTTATTTCTCAGCCCATCTGCAGCTCAAAACATGTTAAGTCCTTTAATTTTACTCTTGTATAACTCAAAAAGTGAAGTAAGTGATGTAGTTTTCAGTAACTCCATCTTCTGGGTCAGAGTTAAGGTTGTTTTTTGGAATGTCGAATTGAAATTGTGTTCCATTCTTTTCATCCTGCTGTGAAAGCACTTTTCTGGAAACATGAAGTATGCAAGGCAGTTCATAGGCATTACCTACCTGCTCAAGGTGCTTTTGATGTCCTATGGGAGGAAACAGAGAGAGAAAAGGTCCCTTAGTCGACATATCAAACACTAGAATCCTTAATCATAGAATTAGAGAGCTGGAAGAGACCTCAAGTGGTCATCAAGTCCAGCCCCCTACCCAAGGCAGGACCAATCCCAACTAAATCAACCCAGCCAGGGCTTTGTCAAGCCGAGACTTAAATACTTCACCCAAGAGGATTTACTTGGCTTTGAGAGATAAATGGCAAGTTTCAAGTTATTTTCAGACTTACTATTCCCTCTATCCCCTTCACACAGCCCTGAAGATCACTTTTGGAGTTTAGTGTTGTGGGAGAATTTTCTCCAACACTCAAAATGTGAAGATTACTTTTCTTTTCCCATGTCTGAGTGTAACACGTAAACCTTAGAGCAGTGACCGCTGGAATTTAGCTACTGGAACTGAGCAGTGTGGAACAAGGCAGAAGATCACATAATGTATCAATACGAGAGTTAGATTTTGCAAATGCACATTTTAGGGCATTGAGGAACTTAATAAGTAGAGTCGTTTGCATTTTGAATAATACTTTGTTATGAATTCAGACCCTTTTTTGTTTAGTAAATTGCATTATTTCTATAAGTGTATATGATATTCTAAGTATAGAAGTAGCAATGGCCTAGATGCAATGATATTTTCATACTACCAGTTGAACCTCTCTCATCCAGCACCCATGGGACTTGACTGGTTCTGAACCAGAGAATTTTCCGAGTTATGGGAGGTTAATATTGTCTAGCAGTATTACCAACACCTCTACTACTTATTTCCGTCTCGTCTAGCTGGGCCAGCTGGAATCTCTCTTGTTCCTTCAGAAATTGGCACAGTTGCCGAAATTGAAACACAATTGTCTGCCTCTCCAGGTGTGTCTTTCTCTGCAGTGCACAGATGCAAAGGAGAAAAGGGGCGTGAGTCATGGGACGTTTCATGAAGCTCCCTGTATGTAGTCGTGATGAGCTCACTACACTGAATCTTCAGTCCCCAATGATGATCGAAGCTGATGAATCCAGGTTTAAGTCCTTCCACTCACCTGCTGAGTGCCTAAGAAATGCTCAACAGGCAGAACTGAACTTGAGACCATTAAAGCTGAGCTTATAATGTGGCCTAATGGATCAAGCATTGGTCTCCTAAACTGGGGTTTGTTGATTCAAGTCCCACCTGGAGTAGACAGATATTTCCTCCTTAATTTTATGAAGGCCATAACTTTAACAGGGTTTAAAAAAAGAGTTTGATATTTTGATGGGTATGGGTATGTCTGCACTTGCACCCTCTTTCAAAGGAGGAATGCAAATGTAGACATTCAAAATCGTAAATGACGCTGGGATTTAACTATCCCGCACTTCATTTGCATATTTGCAGACGGGCACTCTTTCGAAATACTTTATTTCAAAATACAAAATGCTGTTTGGATGCAGTTATTCCAGGAGAAAACCCTTCTTCCGAAATAACGTTTAAACTCTTGCGTCCAGCCGGGAATATGCAAATGAAGTGTGAGATATTTAAATCCTGGCTTCATTTACAATTTCGAATGTCTACATTTGCATCCCTCTCTCGAAAGACATACCCCAGGATGGGTAGGAATGGTGTCTGTAGCCTCTGTTTGCCAGAAGCTGGGAATAAGTAACAGGAGAGAGATCACTTGATGATTCCCAGTTCTGTTCATTTCCTCTGGGGACACTTGGCATTGGCCACTGTCAGAAGACAGGACACTACGCTGAATGGACCTTTGGTCTGACCAAATATGGCTGTTCTTAAAAACCAGATGGCTCTCAGCAAAGGCTGTAGAGCAGACTCGTTACTTTCTCTGTAAGCGGTCTGAGGCTGCATCTACACTGCTGAGTTTTTGAGCAAAAACTCACGGAGTGTCCACGCTACACGTGCATTTTTGTGTAAGAAAATGTACAATACATCGTAAGAAGAGAGGGGTTTTTTCACAAGAGTTATTCCTCTTTTTACAAGGAATAAGCCTCTTGGTGCAAGAACTCTTGTGCTAAAAGGTGCATGTGGACGGAAACGAGTTTCTTGTGCAAAAACAGCCTATCAGAAAAAGCACTGGTGCTCTGATGGCCATTCTGTTAATGGCCATCAGAGCTTTCTTGCCCAAGCGTGTCCATGGCAGTCCAGAGATCCGCTTTTGTAGTATGGGAGCGCTTTTGTGCAAGAACTTTTTGCGGAAGATCTTTTCCACAAAAAGGTTCTTGTGCAAGAAACCTTCAGTGTAGATGTAGCCTCAGTGCCACTAAATGGGAAAATGCACCACACCCAGAAGGTGTGTGGGCAACACTTATTTCTCAGCCCATCTGCAGCTCAAAACATGTTAAGTCCTTTAATTTTACTCTTGTATAACTCAAAAAGTGAAGTAAGTGATGTAGTTTTCAGTAACTCCATCTTCTGGGTCAGAGTTAAGGTTGTTTTTTGGAATGTCGAATTGAAATTGTGTTCCATTCTTTTCATCCTGCTGTGAAAGCACTTTTCTGGAAACATGAAGTATGCAAGGCAGTTCATAGGCATTACCTACCTGCTCAAGGTGCTTTTGATGTCCTATGGGAGGAAACAGAGAGAGAAAAAGGTCCCTTAGTCGACATATCAAACACTAGAATCCTTAATCATAGAATTAGAGAGCTGGAAGAGACCTCAAGTGGTCATCAAGTCCAGCCCCCTACCCAAGGCAGGACCAGTCCCAACTAGATCAACCCAGCCAGGGCTTTGTCAAGCCAAGACTTAAATACTTCACCAAAGAGGATTTACTTTGCTTTGAGAGATAAATGGCAAGTTTCAAGTTATTTTCAGACTTACTTTTCCCTCTATCCCCTTCACACTGGAAGAGACCTCAAGTGGTCATCAAGTCCAGCCCCCTACCCAAGGCAGGACCAATCCCAACTAAATCAACCCAGCCACGGCTTTGTCAAGCCGAGACTTAAATACTTCACCCAAGAGGATTTACTTGAGCCAGGGCTTTGTCAAGCCAAGACTTAAATACTTCACCAAAGAGGATTTACTTTGCTTTGAGAGATAAATGGCAAGTTTCAAGTTATTTTCAGACTTACTTTTCCCTCTATCCCCTTCACACAGCCCTGAAGATCACTTTTGGAGTTTTATTAGTTTTAAACCTGCTACCCATTAATTTCATTTGGTGTAGAGAGGTTCACCTTGTAAATGACAATGAATGTGACAGTACAGGGTTGGATAAACAATAAAAATAAACACAACTAGAAGTTTAATTACAGATCTTTTACTAGCCTCAGATGGAATTTTTTAACAGGCTTTCCCCATGTTTCAGATCTATGTTTCTGTGATGTGTCCTTACAGGATATAATAATTTAAGCATCAACAATATCCACGTGACATTATGTTGAGACCTCTGACTCTAGAATCTGGTACCCACAATGTACGCCCTTCCCACCCCATGTAGGAATCGAGTATGTTTTCCTCACAGTCGCACCTGCAGCAATTCACTGGCTGGCTGCCGACACTTCTGCTGTAGCTCGTAGATCAACGTACTGAGAGAGGAAATTTCATCATGTAGTTTGGCGCTATATTGATCCCACTTCTTGACAATGTCCTGCTCCGTCTCGTCTAGCTGGGCCAGCTGGAATCTCTCTTGTTCCTTCAGAAATTGGCACAGTTGCCGAAATTGAAACACAATTGTCTGCCTCTCCAGGTGTGTCTTTCTCTGCAGTGCACAGATACAAAGGAGAAAAGGGGCGTAAGTCATGGGACGTTTCATGAAATTCCCTGTATGTATGAAGCTCACTATGACCACTCAGCATTCGGTATCTGATGCACCATGAGAACCTGCTTCTGGCTCAGCGGAAAACTTCCTGAGCAGCCCCAAATGCTTGAAATAAGAAGATATTGTTCTGACATGATTAGAATATTTAGGGTGGGGTACCAGGGCCCTTTGCTTGCCTCACTCCCACTGAAATCAATGGGAATTAGGTACCTAAATGACACTGTATCAAAGGCTAAGCTGCCATTAGACACTGGAAAATGAGGTTGTTAAGGCTTTGTAAATCAGGAAGGAACTGGAACTGAGCGCTAGATCACCAGGCACTTTGGAATGGATGGCCAAAAGTGGGATTCAGAAATGGAAGGGTAGAAGCGAGGGACAAGAGCCCCTCAAACATGGTAACAGGACAGGAGGATGAAGCAAAGGCCAGTGTCTTCCAGGACCACGGCAGCCCAATGCAACTGACGAAGCGAATTGCCTATCCTGAAGTCGCAGGAGGTGACTGAAGGTAGAGTAGATGTACCTAATGTAGCCTTCCTCTACCTAACTCAAGTGTGGAGCAGCGAGGCTTTGCCCATGTGCATGGCAGCGTGAATGAGCCCTGTGAGCAACATTCCCTCCACTCTTTTCCATCCATGCGCGGAATAATTTTATGTGCACAGAGGCATGTGCAGATGTGCACCACCAGTAGAAAGACAAACCTTGCTATGGGCACTCGGCTAACCAGCTGGGCAGCATCGGAATCACTCTTGGAGCTGCACAAGCGCCTGGCTTACAGGCAGCACTACTAGTGAGTAAATACCCAGGCCTCTGGCTTATGTAGCCGTGCTGAAGCAAATGCTGAGACCGCTTCCCTGCTCCAGCACTGAGTTCCTCTCCTGAGCTCAAACTTCCTCCTCTGGCTTATGTAGCCGTGCTGAAGCGAATGCTGAGACAGCTTCCCTGCTCCAGCACTGAGCTCCTCTCCTGAGCTCAAACTTCCCCCCTGGTGCTTGTTAATCAGCCGGGCTAATTGGTGGTGCTGTGTACAGCATACCTTACAACAGCCATTCCTGGCAGCGCACAATCTTAAAGGAAGCACTGTAGCCATCCATATCTGGTACAGAAACTTGACCTGGGAGTAACAGCCCTGCAACCTACTCTGTCCTACAAAGCCCATTGATACACAGCTCCAGAAAGGGTCGAAGGCCAGCCTCAGTGTCCCTGTGCACCACAGCTGATGAGGAACAATAACACCTACCAGCAGTTCCTGGCTTTTCTTTTCCCCATTCGACCTGAGTCTCAGAACCTCTTTTCGCTTCTGCTTTAAAGTCTCCAGGTGGTGCTGAATGTGAACCTAGGACAAGAGAAAATATTGTTTTTGCTTTAATGGTGTGTTTGAACCCGATTTTTTTCCAGTGGATCCTGGCTTCTTTCTCCGCTTTGAGCCACAAAGCTGGTTTTTCTCTGAAGTGGGTCTTCACTAGACCCACTAATCTGAACCCCAAAAGATCGACTGTGGCAGCGTAGAACTTCCGCGTAGTGTAGACATGGTGTTGGGGGAGAGAAATTTTGGAACAGTGACGTTGAACAGTTTCCCTGTGTAGCCAAGCCCTCAATTATGTGGATGGTCAAGCTATTTTTTTTATTTTTATGATGTTATATTTTATTATTAAGCTATTATTTACTTATTCCCACACTATAAAAAACAAGCGTCACCAAATGAAATTAATAAGCAATAGGTTTAAAACAAACAACAGGACATTTGTCTTCACTCAGTGCATAGTCAACCTGTGGAACTCCTTGCCAGAGGATGTAGTGAAGTCCAGGACTTTAACAGGGTTCATAAAAGAGCTAGACAGATTCATGGAGGTTAGATCCAGAAATGGCTATTAGCTATGACGGATAGGAATGGTGTTGTGATCCCTCCTTCTGGGGCATCTGGCATTGGCCACTGTTGGCAGACTGGATGCTGGGCTAGATGGACCTTTGGTCTGACCCAGTGTGGCCGTTCTTACGTTCTAAGCTAGCCCCGAAAGGACAAAGGTAGCAGATAGCTCTCTTTTCCCTCCCCTGAACTAGTCCTGTGTCACGCTTCTCTTAGGCAGGTCCTAGGATCTGGGCCAAAACTTTCACTCTGAAGTCGAAAACCACCTCCCCTAGCTCCCATAAGTCACAGCCTGTGGTTGCTTTCATTTCTGCCTTGTGGGCTTGATGCGTCTCATATGGCAAGTGAAAAGTCCCAGGCTGCTCCTGGAGCTTCCCTGCTCAGGCCTGCGGACCTGTCATTGAGCCAAAAAGAATTCATGACCTTTCAGTACAGCATTCTGGAGACTTTGCCTGACACAATCTGAGCTATAAGCCTCACTTACAGAGCTGCCTTTCTCTAACAGTCTAGGGTTTAGCCTACAGACGAAGAGACAAGGGAAAAAAGTTGAGAAAAGAAAAAAAAAAACCACGCTGCCCCTTTAAGAGCTGCGAGTGGCCTAAACAGGCTTCGTTGGCTGCAGCATCAGATCTCGCTGCACCAAGCAGTGTCCTGCCCAGACAAGCAAAAAAGGTCAGAGCAGGGAACCGAAAAAGAGCTGCACGTGTTGGAGCCGCAATTTTTTCTTTGAAGAGCTTCATACGGCTCATGAGCTGTGGGTTGGTCACACCTGGTTTAACCTATCTTTGAAGAGCTTCATGCGGCTCATGAGCTGTGGGTTGGTCACGCCTGGTTTAACCTACAATATTCATATAGCGTGGACATCCCTGATCTGGCACTCAGAATGGTCCTGAGCAAGAGAGTTTGCTGGACTTCTTCCTGCCCACCTGCCTGTCTCTGCTGCCTCCAGTCCGCTCCGTTGGCTCTGCTCCCTGCCTCCGGCCCTGTGCAGTGTGGCAGCTGTTCCTGGGACTCCCTGCCTCTCACCCTATGGGACAGCAGCTCTCTCCTCGCAGCTTCTTGCTCGAGTAATATGCAAATGAGGCTAAGCGTTGAATATCGCCGAGCCTCATTTGCATAACTAACGAGCCGCCATTTTTTTCACAAGAGGCTCTTGTGCAAGACGGAGCGTCTACACTGCCCCTTCTTGCGCAAGAAAAACCCTCTTGCGCAATGCCGTTCTTCCTGAAAAGTAATAGGTGTAACGGCTTTTCCAGAGTTCCAGAGGAGAGAGGTTCGACCTGTCCTGTTAATGAACTTGTCTTTGACCCTGGGCACTGGACCCTCAACTGGATGACTTCTATAAAGTAGGGTTTATTTTTTCTGAATTTGCAGATCCCTTGAAAGGGATTAGGGGGCGGAGGGAAAAATACACAAACATGTTAAACTGGCCAATTAGCCCGTCATAAGATGGGATTTTCAGGTCTCTCCTCCATGTCAGACTTCTCTTCTGAGCCTCCGGTTTCACTCCGTCTCGCTCTTTCTCCTCCTCCTACTGCCTCCCCGCTTCTCTCTCTCAGCTCTCCTCCACCTCCCCCCCCCCCCCCCCAGCTCTCCCCTGCCCCCTGCCTCTCTCTCTCTGCCTCTCTCTTTCTCTTCTCCTCCTCCTGCCTCTCACTCGGGAGACCGCAGAACCCAAATGGCCGTTTAGGCTCCGCACACCCTGTGCACTTGCTCCGCTTGCTCCCACGTGGCGGCCTGGCTGAGCGGCGCAGAAGTCAGTCGAGGGCCACCTGGAGCTGCTGGCAGGCAGCACCTCCCCGCCCCACCCTCCTTCGCCTCCCACCGTGGCACTCGGCTGACTTCTGCACCACTCAGCCAGGCCGCCGTGGGGGAGCAAGCCATGCAAACGGCTGTTTGGGCCCCGCACTCCCCATGCAGCACAGGCCGCCCAGAGAGAACAGCCAACATTTCAGGCAACAGCGCCACTCAGAGTCCCCAAGCAGCACGGGCCGCCCAGAGGGAACAGCCAGCATTTCGGCGTTACAGACTCTCAGACGCTGGACTACTATATATATGATGTTTTGGTTTCAGAATGCCTCTCATTTAAGTGTCTTAATTATTTCACTCCTTGTGAAAAGTATAGCACTTACCAATTTTGAAAGTGGAATTCTTTGTTTCCCACCACATGGGGCAAATGCTGCTTATCACAGAAGCCCATTTGTAACCTTCACAATAGAGCTGCCTCTCCCTAAGGGTGTGTCTATACAGCACCCTAAACTTAAAATAAGGTACACAATTATTTTGAAATTTGGAATTTGGCATGTCTACGTGGCACCAAATTTCAAAATAACGCACTATTCCCTTATTCCTCGTGCAACAATGTTTCCCGGGGTGGTGAAATAGTGCACCCATCATTTTTAAAAGTACAGGCAGTCCCCGTGTTACATGGATCCGACTTACATCGGATCCCTACTTACAAATGGGGTGAGGCAACCCCGCACTAGCTGCTTCCCCCCAGCAGACCAGGGAGATGCGAAGCTAGCGCCCCCCCACCCCAGCAGACCAGGGAGAGGTGGAGCGGCTTTTCTCAGCAGACACCTCAGCTTGAGAATAAAGGACTGAGGGAAGTGAGGTGTGGGAGAATAAAACTGAGCTCTGGAGAAATGTTTGGCTAGAGTTTCCCCTACAATATGTACCAGTTCCAACTTACATACAAATTCAGCTTAAGAACAAACCTATAGTCCCTATCTTGTACGTAACCCGGGGACTGCCTGTATTTCAAAATAATGGGCAGCTTGTGTAGACACAGAGTAGCTATTTTTGGATCTTTCTGGTGTCCCAAAATAGCCTTGCCGTGTAGACGTACCCTAAGAGTCAACGATTACTCGTTTCTTACCTTGGAATCTAGGGCAGCCTCGTCTATGGGCACCACGGTGTAGTCTTTGTGATCTCGGGACAAGTGACAAACCATGCAAATGGGGGTTTGATCGTCTTGACAGAAGATTTTAAGAACCTCCTGGTGCTTCTCACACCCTCGCTGAACTGCTGGTGTGTTTGTTGGCTCTAATCTCAGCGTTCCGGAAGCTTCCACAATATTCCTCAGCTGCCTGTTTTGGGTGAAGTGCTTCCAGGGAAAGGTATTTCTGCACTCCGGACAGCAGACATCTGCTTTCGGCCCCTCCCACCACACAGAGATACAACCCAGGCAAAAGTTGTGCCCACAGTCTAAAGACACGGGATCTTGAAAATAATCCAGGCACAGGGAACATGTCAGCTCATTTAGGAACAGCTGGGCTGGATTGGCGGCAGCCATGGGTGCTTCTGCAGAGAGGAGAGGATTTTAGTTTCCTTCTCCTGGTCTCAAAAAGGGAGCTGATTCTGAACTTTGAACACCAAACAGGCGTTCCCTAGATTTACACTGTTTCGTGTTACTTTTGGGAGGCTGCCAGAGTCACCTTTGGGTCTGAGCAGTTGAAGGAAGCACCATGAGAGGCCGAGGTGAATCATGGCCACTTAGGGCTGCCAGGTATCTGGTATTGAACCGGACACGCCTGGATTTTTGCCTCCTGTCTGGTAAAAAAATTCAGAAATACAGGAGGAAAAAATCCCACCCTGTCAAGATCAATCCAGAGGCCACCTGGCAACCCTAGTCGGGTGGCTACCGGCAGCCTGTTAGGGCCAAAAAACCTCACCACACATTTTTTTAAAGGGACCACAGTCTTTTTTTTTGCTTAACATCTCTTGGGGACCTTTATTTATTTTGGTCAACAAACTTTTTCCTGGTGTGGTGGGTTTTTTTGTTTTGGTATTTTTTCTGAAACCATCTGGCAACCCTATGGCCACTCAACAAAACAGTTGTTCAGTGGCATGAGGAGGGAGAGGGGGAAGAAAGGGGCAGTTGCCCCCGGATGCCACACTAGAGGGGTGCCAATTTAGTAGTGGACAGAAGGGTGGCACTAGGAGTCTTAGGACCCCACGGGTGCCGACCGGACAGTGGAGGGAAGGACAGCGTTAGGACCCCATGGGTGCCAGCTGCTTCCGCACCTGCAGGAAATTGAAACTGAGCGTGAAGCGCCCAGCGGGGTTGGCCTAGAGCGAAGCGCCTGGCAGGAGCAATGCACAGGGTGGGCGTTCAGGCTGAGCATGTGCAGAACGCAGCTGGCGCACAGGCCCGTCTGCGACTACAACCCCCACAATCCCCTTCACTGCCAGTCGGTCTGAGGCACCGCCCATTGGGCCACCCAGATCCTCGGCCTGGGGGCAGCAGATGGGTCTGGGAAAATACACAAAGTTCTCTGGGCTGCCAGTAAGAGTCCAGCCTGTCGGGAGGAAACATCCTAGAGTCGTACCTCACCCCCCGAACACTCAATAACTGTGGCAGTAACCATCGGTTTTTCTGCTTGAGGTTTTCTCTCAGTGATTGGTACAATAATTTCTAAATACAGTCTTCTTAGCCATGTCCTCGCAGCGCGTCAGGGTCTGTAAGGGTCGCCTGTGACAGAAGAAGAGGGAAAATCGGTGGCAGGAGTCACTTCCTGACTCTCTCGTCAACTGCAGCCTGGAGACAATTTCGTATCTTGTGACAGGGACTTTGCATGAGGCACAGATGGATTTCTTAGCCTGCATCTAACTTCTGCAAAGTCCTGATCGGCAAACTGATTCGGAGTGAGAAAGGGCCCTAGTGGATCTTCGGTAGATGCAGTGAAGTGGTTTTTCACTGTGAGGAGTTTTTAATCCATTTCTTAGAAAATAACAGGCAGGTTCTGACAAAATATTCAGAGTCCAGAGCAAAGGGACTTATTTGGAGGGACCCTGCTATCTCTGCTTGTATATGGACCACTGTAATAGACAGTACTAGACCTGGTCACTTGCCATGGTAATAGAGGTACCTACCGCTCATTCCGTTATCACCTGTAAGTTGGACGCTAATAAAATCCGGCTGGGAGACATCGGTCCTATAATCTGAAGAGATTTCAGGCGAGGAAAAGATCATTAGGGCCTTGCTAAAGAAACTCTTTTTGACAGTAAAAATCTTCTCTATTATTGCCCTGTTATCTCCTTTTTAATAGAAACTTTATGCCCAATTTTTGGGCAAGGAGGTTCAGGCGATTTCCTTTGGGGCACAGGCTCCACAGAGAACAGGCCTTCTTCTGAAGATGGATGAAGGTCAAATCAATCAGGCTGACTCACATCTGTCACAAGCTGGCGGTGATCACTTGTACCTCATAACCCTACTCGTGAGTGGCGTTGTTCTTTTTGTTTGATGCAGATACCGTGGGCAGGGCTTTGCAATTTGTGTGTGCTCTGAGGGCGTTTTTCATGCCGACTGTCAAAGGTTCTGGTCCTTAGCTTCAGGAGTGAGGTCTCTTACGTGCGCTTCCAAATTTTAAAATGAGCCATTCAGCTTTACATCAAAACATAAGAACGGCCAGATGGAGTCAGATCAAAGGCCTATCCAGCCCTGTGTCCTGTCTGCCAACAGTGGCCAGTGCCAGGTGTCCCAGAGGGAGTGAACTGAACTAAGAATCATGAAATGATCCCTTTCCTGTCACCCATTCCCAGTTTCTGACAAAACCATTCCTACCCATCCTGGCTAATAGTTTTTCATGGACCTAACTGCCATGAATTTATCTGGTTCTTTTTGGAACCCTGTTAAAGTCCTGGTCTTTACCACCTCCTCTGGCAAGGAGTTCCACAGGTTGACTGTACATTGCATGAAGAAAAACTTCCTTTTCTTTGTTGCAAACTTGCTCTCTGTTCATTTAATTGAATGACCCCCTCGTTCTTCACACATTGTGCTGGGAATTATCATTTTGTGGATAGAGTTAATGTGACAAGGAACAATCAGGTTGCTTGGCAAGAGTTTATGGGAATTATACGTCATCCAACCTTAATCACTGCAAATCTGAAGTTAAAGTCTGGCCCATCCCTACTCTTGCAGAAGGGTGAATCTATAATTGAAAGGACATGACAAAACAGTGTTAGGATGTCCATTGTTCTGGCTGGCCAGTTGACATTTTGTGACATATCATTGCAAACCCCCCTTGTAAATTTCAGAAATGGCAACCGGCCGGGAACATGCAAATCAAGCGCGGGATATTTAAATCCCGGGCTTGATTTGCAATTTCAAATGCCTACATTAGCCTCCCTAGTTCGAACTAGGGGGCCAGCGTAGACATACCCTTACAGAATGTTATGAAATTATACTAAACTGATTGGTTAAGGTCTAGCTAAGCAGGACTCAGGTTTCACTATATAAACTGGGGTGCAAGAAGATCAGCTAGAAGAGCAACAGGGAAACAAGAACAGAAAGGAAGACCGAGGAGAAGGAGGGGAGCAACAGGGAAACAAGAACAGAAAGGAAGACCAAGGAGAAGGAGGGAAGACCCGGAAGAAGAACTCACCTCCAAGACATAGCCTAAGACCAGAGCTGCCAGGGCCCCTCTGCGTGACCGTGACATTCAGCAGCTAAGATCCAGAGACTGATAGCGCCTGGCCAACAGGGGAAGTCGGCCTGCGTGTATCAGGATTGGTGAGCATGACGCTGTGCGCTTAGCACGTGTATTCTACTTGCTTGGGAATTGTCAATAAATAGAGGCTAAGAATATTACTGTGTGAGGCTCTTTCAGGGGCTAAAGATCCTGCCAACCTGCGGGCAGATGCGCCCTGAGCCCTAGGAATTGGATAAGGGTGTGTAAATTAACAGGGTTGCACCGTGAGCCCTAGGAACTGGGTAAAGGTGTGTGTCCCTACAGTGTGGAAGGGAGAGAGAAATGTGTGCGGTTAACACCACAGGGCAGCAGGGTGACAGGGAAGAGGGAAAGCAGGCGGCTGGGAGACAGGCAGGAGTCACTGCCTCGCTCTCCCCAGCTGCAGCATGAACCCATTTGGTTCATTTGTGCTGAGAGCTTTGCATGAGGCACCGATGGGCCACTGAGCATCTATCTGACTTCTTCAGTGTCCTGATCAGCAGCGCTATTCTGACAGAGCCCGTATCCCGAACTGCCTTCCCCAGGTCTGAGCCCCTTTCTGCAATTCAACACTCCCAGGCCCTGTACCCCAACTCCCTAGCCCACATCAGAGTGCCCTTGAGCATCCCAACCCCTTGCCCCAGGTTGGAAACTTCTCCTCTCCCCAACTGCAGCATGAACCCATTTGGTTCATTTGTGCTGAGAGCTTTGCATGAGGCACCGATGGGCCACTGAGCATCTATCTGACTTCTTCAGTGTCCTGATCAGCAGCGCTATTCTGACAGAGCCCGTATCCCGAACTGCCTTCCCCAGGTCTGAGCCCCTTTCTGCAATTCAACACTCCCAGGCCCTGTACCCCAACCCCCTAGCCCACAGTAGAGTCCCCCTGAGCACCCCAACCCATGTCCCAGATAGGAAACCGCTCCCACATCCAAACTCCCCTCTGGACCCTGCACATCACACCCCCTCCCTCATCCCATCCCAGCCCTGAGCCCCCTCCTGCCCTCTGCTCCCCTTCTGCCCCACTACCCCATCCCTGACCCCCTCCCATGGCCAGAATCCCTCCCGTGGCCGGCCGCCTCTCCCACCCCT